TTGAGTAGGAAGATTAATTGGCAAGGCTAGTTGGGAAATCAGTCACACACAGAACTGAGAACATGCTACAGGTGGTTGAATTAGCTGCTTGCCACCCTCAATCCAGGCTTGAGAATTAAATATAACTCTCACCAGATTTAGACTTTTCTTTCAACAATAGTGCTTCTTCAGCAAATGTGACACTAGCTCTATCCGTAGCAGTGATGACTGGTATTTCCTCATTGTCCTCCACGGCTAGAGTGGCATCATCTTCACACTCCTTACTGGTTGTTGTTATTGGTGTTGCCAGGCCTACACAGTAAGAATGACATCATGTTTATCCAATCACAAGAATTCTTACAAACAATAATGCTACAGTAAATAGAAAATGGGTTGATCATTTGACAATTATATCAGATCACATACAACACCATCATTCCTTTCTTACCAGTGTGATGATTAACATAATTTATAGCCCAATATTTTCTTTCAATTTTGGGGTTTTCATCTTTAAAAAATCAACACAGCATAAACCCAAACAAAAATATGAAATTGGTTAATCATTCTCGTCTCACATCATAAACTGTATGCATACCTTCTGTTTGCTCATCTATTTTTTCCTGTGTTTCATTTGTCGCTTTTTCTTCTTTGGTTTCCTTTGATTCAGGTTCCTTTGCAAATCACAAAATAACAACAATTAGAACATTCAACCAAGCATCTCTATTGTGAACACAATTTTATTAACAAGAATTTTTGTTTTAATTTTGTATTTACCATTCCTTTTTTTTCAGTAGATTCTTTCTCAGATTCACCAACCATCTTATCAACAGTTGTGGTTTCCTTCTCATCAGTTGCAGTTTCCTTTTCTTCAGCAGCAGTTTCCTTTTCTTCAGCAGCAATTTCCTTCTCGTCAGCTGCAGTTTCCTTCTCGTCAGCTCTGACTTCCTTCTCCTCGGCTATGGCTTCCTTCTCCTCAGCTACCTTCCTTCTCATCAGCCGAGGCTTCCTTCTCTCAACTGTGGTTTCCTTCTCAACATCTGTGGCCACTTTTTCCTCGGCTGTGGCCTCCGTCCCATTCACTTACTTTCTCATCTTCTGCTTTGATTTCTTCATCTGCAGATGGTTTTGGAGATTCCGCTGCAGGTGTGACATCATCGTTTCCTTCACCTTCCACCACTGCCGTCTCCTCCTCTTTAACACCAGTTTCTTCTTCGTTTTTTTCTTCCACTTTCTCAGTAGTATCATCTTCTTTGGCAAGCTCAGCTTCTTCCTCAGCCTTCTCGTCATCATCTCCAGTTTTCACTTCATCTGTTTTTTCAGCATCCTCAGCTGGCTCCTCAGTTGCTTCTTTGGTAGGTGTTGAAGGTTTCTCCACAGCAGTAGTATCTATGCATTCAAGTTATTATAATCAAACATTCAAGGGTTATTTGTAGCTAAAAACAGGAAATGTTGGTTTTTCAAATTCTGTCATGAGGAGTGCTACCAGCGCATGGGTTGGCAGGTTCACAAAAGCAGTTTTGTCTGCAGTTACTGTATCAGTTAAGTTATGATGCCAAAAAATGTGACAAAACACATGTGCCACTGTGTTGACTACATCATACATGTATAGTAATGTATACCTTGCAAATTCACAGACATTATTGTTTTTTTTTCTGTACTTGATTAGTATAGAATATATACAAGTTTAATATTATGTTCCTGTTTAATATTATGTTAAGACTAGATGTCTGAATACCGTAAGGTGAAACTAACTAGTTTCTGTGAGATTGTCTACTGGTTTACATACCTTCATCCTTCTCCTTCTCAGCAGCTGTTCTCGCTTCTTTATCACTTTCTAAAATAGTTTCATCTCTGGGACTTTCTGATCGGACACTGTCTGTTTCATCTGTGACTTCATCTAGTTCTACAACAGGCCCTGGGTAAATAATGTGAGACAGCAACGGTGATGCAAATGCTATGACAGTCATCCAACACTCAGATGTAACAGTGGATTCTCATGATAGTGAGTGTGAAGGCATTCAATTATTTTCATGATTCAAAAGTGTAGCAAATAATATCTAACTGGGAACTGAAACAATTGCCAACATTTGGTGAAACATGATTGGAATTAGAATACTTGGGAAATATTTCTTTCATAGTCAACATATATTGCATCTAATTATTCATTCTCACTCTTTCAGAATTTAGTTCATATGTACACCCAAGTTTTAACAAATATCATTCAGACATGTATGAAAAATAATGCCAAACAGGCGCTTAGCTAAGGGCCCCCCCCCCCCAGCCTCAGAAAATTGTTGACACATTTGTGTATTTTTTAAGTCACAGACATTGTTTCATTGTTCACAAGTGGACATTATTTCTGGTCAAAACAGTAAAATGTTGAAAAGACATGACAGTTATCATGACTACCGGTAGGCATTTTTGTAAGAGGCTGACAAATGTGCCCCTGAATATAAAAAAACATGCAAAATTGGATACTAACATGCAATATACAGTACTGTATTAAAAATACTTTTATTTTATTTTAGCTGGAATTAATTTTCGCTAAAAAGGCTTTTGGGTGTTTTGTATGGAATTTATTTTCACTGATTTTTGGCGAGTTGAATGTAAAATATAGGAGAACAAGTATATTCACTGGATTTTATTTTCACTGAACCATTCCTTCAGCGAAAATTAATTCCAAATGAAAATTAAGTACTTTACAGCACTAGTTAAAAGACAAACAATACTTCAAAATGTCTTTCATTCTATGTGCAATATAAGTGCTTTGCATTCAACAAAAGGGCCAAACAGGGACACAAACTTTAACATGCTATTGTTGTCATTATATGAGGTGTTGATTCCTTACTAATCTGTTTACTGTACACAGTAATTAAGAACATAGTAAATGTAGTCAATCAATCAGTAACTTCTAAAGAAAAGTTTGTTTCATGCATAAAACTTACATTTTCTCGGGTTTCTGATTGACTTCTTGATAAAAGAAGTAGCATTATCATAGAAAGTCTCAAACAGGTTCAACACTCTGTGTCTATCCAATAAGCCAACCCCAGAGTGATCACATGATACAAACAGATTTGTCAAGATTTCACGACGAGCTTCACTGTCGGCTGCTGCTCGGACTGCTGATGCACACTTAGACAAATGTTTGAGGAACTCGGTGAAAATTTCTGTTGGCATATCAGTGATGAATTGCTTGATGTACTGAGAAAGAAAGAAAGCATAATAAAAAATGAGTTTGTGATTGTTTTACACAGTAACAGGTATTATTTATTACACAACATTGTCAATAATAACACAATACATAGAAGATTTTACCACACTAGTATATATGAATCAGTATTGACGTGGCAAGAAGTAGGATACTAACATCTGCAAACTCTTTAATGGAGACAGTTTTTCCTGTTTCATCTAAGGATTCAAGTTCATGACTGAATTCAGAAGCTGCAAGGTAAAACAAGAACACTGATGGTTAGATGCCTTCATACATGTCCAGATAAATTTAATATGAGGCTTGGAACTTTATCACCCAGTGAATTTTGACCTCCAGTAAAGCCTATACAGACCATTGCTATCTTGTATCTATGCACCAAGTCTACAAGCAGGATAGCAGTGGTCGACAAGAACACTGAAAATGTGATTTTATAGGACAAATGGCTAAATTCATTTCCACCCTAGTTGAAAAGAATCTCTGTTATTATTATCATCTCATTTCAGATTATAAGATATACATGTTTAAAGGTATGGTGTTATTTTGGCTATGATTATTCTAAAAATATTATACTGTGCTTGATTATATTACATGTTTAAAAGTGAGGTGTTATTACGGCTATCATTAATCAAATAGGCAAACAACACACCTTTCTTGATCTCTTCTGGATAACTCTCTGTGATTTCTGCAAAGGATTTAAGTGCTTCTTGGACAAGATGTAGTTCTACTCTTCCATCTTGATTGACTAACCATTCTTTATATTGTTCTCTGAGTGTTGCTGATCTACGCTGATTCTCCAATGCTTTCAGTCTACTTGCTCTTTCTCTTTCTTCTCTACGACGTCTTGCCTCTGCTTTTACCTTGGCCAATCTGTCATTATAGAATTAAATGTTAATAAAAAATTAAGACAGAGACATCATTGAAATAGGACATACATGTATTTTCGCATGCATACTATCTTATGTGTCACATTGTATACGTTGTTAAAAACACCTGAAAGTATGTACAACTTTTGACTTTGGGATGCCACTAAATTATTAATTTGTGAAAATGTTTAGTATTAATTACTAGTAATCTTTGACAGACATAGATAGTACAGGTAAAAAGTGGACCATTTAAAAACTCTGAGAGGGATGATGGCAGAAAAATATTTTTTCCTTCATTCAGTATTATGATATTTTTATGTTTCTATGAATAATTTAACTGTAATTTTTAGAGATTTAGGCAAGTAGAATTTTACTGATTTTTTGTGTGTGGGAATTTTGTTTTACAATTCTGCCACCCCCTGAGTTTCTAATGGTCATCCCCTAATCAGAAACTTTTCGGGGACGGGTTCTAAAATAGCCTATATATAATAATTACAATATAAAAGATATTACCTGTTATCTTCAAATGAGAATACTTCTTTTTTGAGCTCATCAGTGACATCTTGTAAACCTCTTATATATGGTGATGCTTCATGGAAAGTTGCTGTACCTTGGATTATTTCGCATTAAATACTGCGCTAGGTAATTGATAGGGTTAAAATTAGCAGCAGGCTCATCTTCCTCAGATAGTCCTCGTTTGTCAACTTCTACCAATAATTTCTCCACGCCCATAATAAGTACGGGAAGTAATTTTTCTAAGAGGTATGCTCTGACTTCGACTGTGGCTTCATTGTCTTTTAACCATTCCCTTGCTAAAACATCAATTGGAATTCGACGTGCAAGTTTCATTTTTTCTTCGCGGGCTTGTATGACACGTAGTTTTTTCTCTTCCTTACGTTCTTTCAGTCGATCCATCACACGCTGCTCATGGAATCTTTTCCATCTTTTCAAAGCTGTTTTGACAATGGGTTTTAAATAATCTGGCATGGATGACCTACTTGCCAATGATCGTACGCTTTCTGGCCTATCAGTAAGGGGTGTTCGTTGTTGAGGAGATTTGGCACTTCCCGGTGATCGTACATTAGATATTGGCCTGGATACTGGTGTTCTGTATCGCCCAGCCGAACCAGAAAGACTAGATGATATTGGTCTGGAACCAGATTGTGAGAGTGGTCTTGAT